AAATAATATGCTGTTTTAGCACCTAGGATGTCAAAAATGCGTGTCTGGTGATCCCAAGATGCTGCCTTTATTGCCCTCGCAGTTAATTTTACATCCTGTGAATGCAAATTCAACTGCGTGGGCAATCAAGGCAGCATCTCAGGATCACCAGACACATTTTTGACATCCTAGGTGCTAAAATAGCATACCACTTTTTTCAGTGAATACGTCCATTTATTCTATTCCCTCATCAAAATTGACTTGACTATGAAAAATAAAATAAAGTCAGGGATTTGGTACTCTCGTTCTTTAAAGTCTTAAATGACTGGGTTGATTGACGCTTGGCAGCCCTGCACAAATAGCATTATGCGTGAACACAGCGAGGCGCGGATCGGCGGAGCAGAGGTGCCAATCCATCATTCCCGCAAGTCTCAGGAGCGACTTCTTTCATTAAAGGTCGCTGAAGGTCAGCCCGCGTCGGGGTGTGGAAAAGTCAAATCACTCATTTGCACTTTTAATCTTCCGTCGAGAAAAAACCCGGAGGGGCCGGTGGAGTCACGAAGGACTTTCCGTCATCCTCGAGTGTTGCCTCGCTTTTCCGCCCCGAGCCGTTGAAAACTTTCCCTCTCGTTCCCGCCTCCTGTCGGCTTCATGCGACTTACGGCCCCAACTTAATTGAGGCTGGCAGAAACAAAAAATCATAAACACCGTGCCGCGTTGTCGAACCGGGCTACATTTTGAACTCCTGACTTGTTCGATACCTACGCGAGGTTGTGAGGATTAAGGGAGATTTGGATCGCGTTTAGCAAAAAAGAACCAGCGCGATTACAGTGTTGTTAAAATGTTGCTTCTTCATAATTATCTAAAAAATCTCTCAGAATGGCAGATCGGACGAAAGGGAGAGACTTCCTACTGAAAAATTTAGAATTTCAAACAGAAATAATTGTAAATTTGAATATTGTGCATAAATTAAGTAATTTCAAAAGAATAAAAGAAGTTGCAGGATTTTGAAAACATTGTCATCACGTTGGTTCCTTTTTGGTAAATGCAAACCATTTCATGTTTCGATGCAAGATGATATTAGCGGCTGAAGTGGATTGTCGGGACTGACAAGGTGGACCAAGACATCTGGAAAAAGAAACATGTTCCGTGTAATTTCTTCTTTTAAAAAAATGCATCTGTTACATGTAATATACTTCAAAGTATTGTTTTAAAGCTATAATAAATACATTTACTACATATTTAAAAATGAAATCAGGCGAGTTCGACTCAGTCTCCATGTCTAAACATGATGCGTTCGACCGAATGGCCGTGTTTGTACAGAGGAATCTCCGACAGCACGTAAACACACAAAGTCCGGGCTTTGTGTGTTTTAAACTCACAAGTGAAAGATCTCGAATCGCATGAAGCGTTCGACCGAACAGCCGTGTTTGTACCCATAGGAATCTCCAAAAGCACGTAAACACACAAATTCCGGGCTTTGTGTGTTTTAAACTCACAAAAGAAAGATCTCGAATCGCATGATGCGATCCACCGATTAGCCTCGTTTGCACCACCGGGAATGTCCAATATCACGTAAAAACACATATTCCGGGTTTTGTGTGTTTTAAACTCACAAGTGAAAGATCTCAGATCCCATGATGCGTTCGACCGAATAGCCGTTTTTGTACCCATAGGAATCTCCAAGAGCACGTAAACACACTAATTCCGGGCTTTGTGTGTTTTAAACTCACAAAAGGAAGATCTCGAATCGCATGATGCGATCCACCGATTAGGCGTGTTTGCACCACCGGGAATGTCCAATATCACGTAAAAACACAAATTTTGGGTTTTGTGTGTTTTAAACTCACAAGTGAAAGATCTCGAATCGCATGATTCGATCCACCGATTAGCCGTGTTAGCACCATACCGGGAATCTCCAATATCACGTAAACACACGGGACGACGACGTTGAAAATAAAGTCTGGATACAACTATTCGTGCTCTGTAGCTGTCTGTTTTGCATCTGAGAAAATTGAAGGCTCATTGACTCTCCGTCCGTAGCTAATAGTGACACGCACATAGAGTACAATAGAGTCGCAAAGTACTGGAGCGCCGATGAAGCCAATCCATTAACAGGCGTTTCCGAGCCGCGTGTGCTCCGAAAATTGTGAACCATTTGTGAACCCAACGGCATTTTGTAACACGGCGGCTTATGGAGAAATCAAGAATTGCTTGTGTTTTTTAGGTATTTTATAATTCAATCAGCATTAATTTTTGCAAATTTTGCTATTTAAAGGTAGTCAAAGCCATAATGAATCCATTGATGTATATTACTCCTGGATAATATTCATATTAGGATTTAATTTCTGACTTATACCAAGTGTGAACCAACCGGCATTTCTTATCACGGCGGCTTACGGGAAAAGCAACGACTGCCTGTGTTTTTTCGACATTTTTTAATTCCATCGATATTAATTTGTGCAAATTTTGCTATAATTAGATAGTCAAAGCCATAATGAATCCATTGATGTATATTACTCCTGGATAATATTCATACAGGGATTGAATTTCTGACTTATACCAAGTGTGAACCAACCGGAATTTTTTAACACGGTGGCTTATGGAGAAATCAAGGACTGCTTGTATTTTTTCGACTTTTTTAAATTCCATCGGTATTAATTTGTACAAATTTTGCTTTAAATAGATATCCAAAGCCATAATGAATCCATTAATGTATGTTACTCCTGGATAATATTCATATATGGACTCAATTTCAGACTTATTACCGGCCTACTTGGCTGGGTTCAATGTGTGTGGACCTAGCCGACGAACGGAGCCGAGTCTCGAGTGGGGAGGTGGGGAGCGCTGAGCGCGAGTCTCTGCGTATGCGTCGTCGCTAGTCGCCGCACACTAGTCTCCGGAGAACTGGACAAATCAGCCTCGAAAAGTGACTTCAACGGCGATCCAGTACTTTGCGACTCTATTGTACTCTATGGACACGCGCAGTGTTTCGCGCCGTTCAAAACTGATCAGATCCACGCCAAGTCGTAGATTCGTAACTGGTTTAAAAATTAGTGCTTTCAGGATAGAACGGGTAATCACCAGTGGCGTCATTTGGTGGATAGGGATGGTGGTTGCACCCCCCCCCCCCCCGCTCCTTTCGTTTCGAAAGACCTATAGATAAACGACAAAAATTTATCGAATTGCTGAAAACTTGACTTTTGCGAACTTTATTTGGCTATCGTGTAAGGGGTCATGTCAGGTCAGTTACCCCCCACCTCCGGTTTTGGTGCGACGTTACTAGTAATCGCAATCATAAACCGACAGCGTACATTCGGCAGTGCCTTTTTTGTCGTCTTCATTAAAAATATCTAAGGGAGAAAAAGCTGCACAATTCTGACAACGTAACAAATCACGCTCGATGTTTCGGTATAAACGCCCTTAATTGAATGATAAAAGAACGGAATGGATCGTCCTCTGAGCGTCACCACTCGCTTCGAGGCTGTCGAATGTCGAAACTTCGTTGCCAGACGGCGCAACGTCCCGAACGCACTTCGCCCGGGGGTTCAGGATGAAGTTTCCTCAAAAATTTGGCAGGTTTTGACGTAGGCTCGTGACATTTGGTCGGATTGAACGTGGTATTTGATCGCGTTTAATCTTCTGTGACATCTGATGGCTTTAACAGGCAGCGGCTCGACAGAGGAAGTCGGTGAGATGTCAAAGGGAACGATGATTTTTCAAGAGCTCGGTTTTTTTTCCTTTCTACTCGGAAGTGAATGCGGTTGTCACTCCCCTCCGCAAATTTCTTCCGATCGAACGCCACGAACAGTTCAATCGAAACTGTGTCGGACCTTCCTGCTCAGTGACGTCATTGTTATCCCCCCAGTGTAACATTTTATACGGTCGCTCAAAAATAGATTTCCATTCATAGTCAACGTATGAAACTTTCCAGGATCTTGAAAGTATACACCAACGTGAAATACATTAAGGAAATACTCATTTCATGACAGAGAGAGTGGGATACTCTAAAGACACAAAATTAAAAATTCTTCGGAGCAGATAAATTTGTGGGTATTCGCCTCCAAGTATTGAATCAAGTTTTCATCCACCTACACCCAATACATGCATGATTCCCATTAATTTTTCTTCAGTGCAGTTTCCTCGGATACCACTCCTCCGCACTTTTACAAATCAAGTTTTTGTAGGTTGCAACATTTGCCAAAGCTGCTATATGTGAAAAATATACACTTATTTAAACAGTGCTGATAGGGTGAACGAAAATTAGGGTTTGAGTAGGAAATATGAGAAAAATATAACACCCTTAAAAAATGGACAATTTGGCAGTTTGAGGTGCAAACGCACCAAGACGCAACTTTCAACTCTATATACAACACGAGAGAAGCCGGTGCAAGTAAGTGTCTCAGCAGGACTCCAGCAAAGTATTACGAATGCACCTGGCTATGCTATAATCACTCTCTTCCCAGTTTTGCACTGACTGTTCACTTATTAGAGCTCCTTATGTAACTCGTGGCTCTAATTGTTAATATTTTTGGCAAAGATTTCCTCGCAGACCGATGTGCGCCACTTCTGAAAGAATACGTCAATAAAAGTGTCAATTTCGAGAAGGTGTCCTGACAACATCGATTCATGAGAGATTTTATTTTTAAAGTTTTTTCAGGCATTCCTAGAAGTAGATATTTGCAGACGGTGGGTGAAATAGAGTCCTTTTGTGAAAGGCTAGAGAAAAATGAGGGTGGTATCAATTTCGTGGAAATCTATAATTTGAAATCAAAAAGAGCTCGTGCCTCTGAACTCGTGGGATGACAGCCCTTGAATGTGTTTGTATATTTGTCCAGATTTAACGGAATCTATCACGTAGCAACGCATCTATTACTCTCCTCATTAACGTAGGCTTGCATTATTTTAGAGACTCCCCCAATACTGAAGTTTTTTTCATGAGTAGGGCTAAAAATTGCAAATATGTCGTGTTTTATAATTCTATCTATAGTTTGGTAATTTTTCTCGTTTTTTTCTTTCAGTTTCAGGCAGCGTTACTCCAAAGGTGGAATTTGCCGCATTTCATGTGTCCGTTCTGCCCGTTCGTGCAAATTCTCACCGTTAATGTCAGCATTTTTACGCTCACTGCTATAGCTGTAGACAGACATCGAGCCATCTTAAATCCTCTCAGGTAGGAAATTTTCATATTGAAGGGAACGACGGAACCTCAGAAAAAAAGGGAGAACAAAGTGAAAGTAGTGTCGAGTGATTTTTCTCGATAGATGTGTGAGAATCTTTATTTTGAACGTAAATTACTTCCTAGACTGAAATTCGGCAACACTGCAGTAATTCAATTATAATATTTTATGTTCCCCGCATAAAAAACCCTTCCTGGCAAGAAAACATGAACGATATTCTTGCCACTGCTAATCGGCTGTGTCGTCTTAAAACTTTACGCCCCTGTCCGGAAATTATCGCAGAGAGTTGTCTTAAAGAAAACCCTGCACGGAATAAACTAAAACGCGGTAATTGAATTATTTTTCCCTTAGTCGACGTAGAAATACTTGCGTTCTTAGAAATGAGTCACCACTACACGAGCTCCCATTCCTGCCGAGAGATAGCTTTTTAAAACGAACACAAGACGTTCAATATTCACGGATACTTATCAAAACAGAAAATTATTCCCTAAACGGTGTTTGAATCTTGATTTTTTGACCATCCTATATTTGGCTAAGTGAAATTTTATATAAAATTTTCACAAACATATTTACAAGACTTTATCCTACTAAAATTTCATCACTCAGACAAAAAAATTATATAAGTGGAGTGTACTCCAGTTTGTGATGCTACTGGTTCCCTGTCGCATTTCAATGTTTTCAAATGATGACAGGTAACTGCATTCATTCAAATTATCGCGCAATTTATTGAGATTTTTTTTTTAAATTTTGTACTGAACATCAAGAGTACGATTCCAAAATGAGGAAAATCCAAACAAGAACAAATCGTTAAATTAAGGGTAAGAAAATCCCACTCAGATATGTACATTTTCTGCAGTTTTATAATCTTAATGAAACACTCAAATAATCAGTACAATTTTCGGTTAATTGACGATGTCAAGATAAAAATCAGAACAAGTTTCTTCTTCAGCACGAAAACAGCAACTCGACGCTCAAAGCGGCGAGTGCCTAGAGAGACGAAATGCCTTCACTTCCGTGCGTATGCAATACGGACATCCATGGAGCCCGAATAGTTGCATCCAGGCGCTATAATGAGATTCGTTTAGTGTTTGTCGCATGCGATACTAACTAGGGCACTCTATTGCATTGTAACTTCATTCCAGCTTTGCCTATTGTGTCGATGACGTATAAGTTCACTGATTTTTATCACTACTGAAAAGTTCACTACTGAAAATCCCAATAAATTGCGTGATAATTTGAATAACAACAATGACCCATCGTCTTTTGAAAACATTCAAATGCGACAGGGAATCAGTAGCATCACAAAGTAAAGTATATTCACTTATATAATTTTGTTGTCTGGGTGACGAAATTTTAGCACAATAAAGTTTTGTAAATATGTTTGTGAAAATTATAATAGAAAATTACATTCAACCAAAGATAGGATGGTCAAAAGTTCACAATTCAAACACCGTTTAGAGAATAATTTTCTGTCTAGATAAGTGTCCGTGAATACTGAACGAACACTTAATTTTCAGAAAAAGCTGTGATTTTTCAACTCTATTACAACGTGTTCTTCCTGATATTAAGACTTTAGTCCCAAATTTAACTGACCAAAGAACGACGAATGTGGCAGAATCGACATTTGTGGAGAATGGTATACATACAAAGAACAGCTTCTATAATGCTCTTTGGCGCTCAGCGACACCCAGCCGCCAAAGTCCTTCATCCACCCGAACCCCTTCAGGGAGTTGGCACTCCCTCATCTCCATTAAACCCCCTGTTGCCACCCTTTCACTGGGCATCCCCTTCGTTCTCCCCCATTTATATAGAAAACTCTATAAAATCTAGCTAGGCCTACAATAGTTTGTCATCATGGGAAATCTGGCACAAAGGCTATCGAGATGAAGATTCTTAGGGAGGATTCCCGAAGTTGAGGTGAACACTGCCCGCAGAGAGTGAGGAGAACAAAACAAGGGAAGCATATGTACGCTGACGGCTGACGGGCTGAAACTTTCAGTCACCGGCGGAGGCTGAATGGTTGCAGGGAACAAAGGCTCAGACAACGCAGCTGTTTATTTTATGACTAATGCGCCCTTACGTCTGACATACTCCGCCGTTACAGCTTTATTTACAGTCGGCTTGAGATGGGTGGAGTGCTCATGGGATGTGGTGGGATTTCTCGTGGCTGCCGGATCAATCGGAAGCCTCTCCGTATCGGAAAGAGCTCAGCTGCCCGACAACTTCCGCATGAACTTTCGGTCTGCGAGTAAGCTCACGGGGATGATGAGGATTTTCTTCCCTTCAGTAAGGGAGGACATTTTTTGCATTTCATGAATGCAATTTAATGGGTATTTCTTACCATCTTCGATGTTTCATAAGAATCCTCGTTGTCGCGACATGTTTGTTAATAACTTATTAGATTTCTTGAAATTTTCATATTGAGGGTCGATTTCCAAATTCTTGTTGAGGAATGAGGAATAAGGAATAATCTCCAATTATTCTCAACAAGAATTTGGAAATCGACCCTCAATATGAAAATTTCAAGAAATCTAATAAGTTATTAACAAACATGTCGCGACAACGAGGATTCTTATGAAACATCGAAGATGGTAAGAAATACCCATTAAATTGCATTCATGAAATGCAAAAAATGTCCTCCCTTACTGAAGGGAAGAAAATCCTCATCATCCTCGTGAGCTTACTCGCAGACCGAAAGTTCATGCGGAAGTTGTCGGGCAGCTGAGCTCTTTCCGATACGTAGAGGCTTCCGATTGATCCGGCAGCCACGAGAAATTATACCCAGAGTTAAGACATCTCGATTATCAGCTGGCCTGGGCTGGCCATGGTGTCACAAAAGAGTGCACCCAAACGAACGATAATGAGGGACGAGGATAAGGAATCCTGCGATGTCTGTCATCCAAAAACAACACCATCAACAAAACTGATTATAACCAAACCAAAAAAATTGCAATAAAATAAAATTAGATTAATTAGTGGATAATTTCTTAATATATTTTCATTTTGATTCGATGAAAATAACAATTCACTCTTGACAAACCACAATTTGATTACATTTTCATTATTTTTGTTCACATTCGAGGTACCGCCATCTTGGTGCGCTCATTTGTGACTCCATGAGCGAGAACCAGTCAGAATTGGATTTTTTTTCAGGCCACTTTCAGCCCAACCAAAAGTGAGATGTCGTAACTCTGGGTATAAAGGGACTCTATGAAAAAGCACATTCAACACAGAGGGACTTGACAACATTCTTTGAAACTTTCCTGCGGTATTGGTGTCGATATTTTACCGAAACGAGAACTTTCTTTTGATTGGGGTGCTATTCTCGGAGGGAGGACTCTCATTCATTGCGAACAGTAGCGGTTTGACGGACGATACCACCACAACCACACCGTCTCGCTGACTTCCATTCATTCTTATAAAAGTGACTTGAAAAACCATTTCAAGATTTCAACATTGTCCGAAAATGCATCTCTCTGTCGATTTCAAAGAAGAGTCTAATTCGCATTCAAATATCTCTTCCTCAAAAATTGAAAATGGAAATACTGTAGGAAAAGCATTTCTCCCAGCTGGACGGAGCACAAAGAGGCGGAGCTTCAAGGTTGCCAAATAATGGGCTCCAGTCAATATTTTTCTCACAAATTTTACGCCTTTATGCTTAAATGCAGTAGCGTAGCATGCTTTGCGATATATCGATTGATCTGTTATTTAAGCCTATTGAAAAGGATCGATTAACAGGGTGTTTGCAACGAACACCTAACTAATCGATTCTTTACCACGGATCCAAATGGAAAAATATCGATAGTCGATCATTCACGCCGCGCCACTGCTTAAAGGAACTATTTATTTTGATTCATGAGGACGTCCGAGTAAAAAAGCATAATGTAATTGCTGTAAAGTACCTAACTATAAGTAAAGATCAGTAACTAAGAAGCATAAAGTACTTATTTGCGTAATCTTGCATTATATTGAAAGAATAATAAAGCGTCCTCCAATATCCGATGTCAAATTCTGTGCTTAAAATTTTTTTGAGTTAAGTAGGATTATGAGGCTGAATCACTTGCATGGACGTCACGTGGAGTTTATTCGGTTTTGAGCAGAACTCGCTCAACGAAAATCAAATACTATATACTTTCTGCAGGGGTTTACCTTTTTTAAAAGTATAAATAGTCCTGACACGATGCAGCTTGATGTGAATTAATTTCAAATTAGTATTCCTCCGAAGTCCAATTTTCGTAAATGTTAACTCGTGTTCCGTGCCACTACCCTAATAGCATGAAAGTAAGTGAAGCAAAATTTTAGGAGCTTTTGTGGAAACAGATTTGGTTTGTGTTCATGTGTTCGCTGAAAAAAGAACTGTAAGTACTATCATTGAAACAACCCAGAAGTAAGTCCAACATGTTTTCTAGGGGGTTTCCTGCATCGTTGATGCCGTAAAATATAGAGAAGCTTCTAAAACGATCTGGCGAGTTCGAAGGTCACCAAAAGTTTCTTTTGACACTTTTTAGAAATCTTGAAATATGTCATCGAGACATTGTCAAGACATTTTTATACGTAGTGTGCTGTGAATGTAATAGAAAAGCTCAACCTTTTCAAGGCTGAGGGTTGTATCGTTCCCTTAAAGAGGACGGCTAAATCTGACATTGAGCCAGGTCTGAGCAATCTGAGGAGTGAGGACTGAGCTTCAATTAAACAGAGAATTTCGGTCCTTTGTCGTGAATGTTAATGAGAACTCGGTGGGGACATTAGGCGATCCTTTTCCACGAGGTTTAACGATCTCTCCACTAACAAGCTTATTTGGACGTTGATCTCCGTGAAACATCTATTTTCGACCCGAGGCAATGCGGCGCGCCTACCGTTGGTCACTAATTTCATTCTCTTTCAAATTATTTCAAAGGATCCTCCACAGACAGCTAGAGCTCGTGATTAAATCCCACCATTTAGCGTACAATTTTAAGCGCGACGTGATAATTATTTTGGTTAAGACCAAAACCTACCCCTCCGCTCACGAAAACCTTTTGGAGGCGCCGCGATGCCCGCGTAATGGTCATAGAACTTTCTTCGTACTGAATAAATCGTTACACATAGCAGATTTATTAGGTTATTCACAGAAAACCTGGTGAAGAGTTGTATATTGCAAGGAGCAAGGAATTATTTTTTTTTGCTGATAAAATATTAAAAAGCTAAAATACAGCAATATCTGAGCTAAGAACACTGAAAAAAGGTGCTTAGCTCAAGCATAGTGATTCTAGAATTTGCCGCCAAGAATTTTTTTCATCTTGATTTAAGCTGAATTTTTCTTGATACAAGAGAAATAATGCTTGGGTTAAGCAAAAAAGTAGTATATATTAAGCAGCAAAACTCTTGATTTAAGAAAAAATACATTCTTAGCGGCAAATTTAAGATTCCTTTTTTTTCAGTGAATCATTATATTACATGAAAACGTCTTTACTTTTTGAAAAACGACATTTTAGAGAAGAAAACTTAAAATTTTGATGAATGTAATTATTTCTTTGTTTTCTGGTCTTTGGATCGATCCTCAAGACTTGATCCCATTTCAATCAAAATCAATTGTAACGCCGAGATAATCACAACATCGTTAATGGAATCTGATGATGAGCCGCATCCAGTGGCGTGGCGTGAATTGCGATACATCGATTGTTATGCCATATAAACCTATGGAAAAGGATCGATCAACAGGGTGTTCGCAGCGAACACCTTAATAATCGATTCTTTACCATAGGTTTACATGGCATAACAATCGATAAATCGCAATTCACGCCACGCCACTGGCCGCATCATTGATGGCCTCACATCTTTACCTTTTAACCAGGATATAAAAACTAGCTTATTTACCTTCGTGATTTGACAACTCTTTACTGTGATTTGTCCGTCACCATCACGGGAGGCTTTTCGCATTATTTTAACAGCATTTGTTCTGCTTTGATTACACGCCGCGCCGTGCCTCCTCAGTCCTCATTTCCATTTCAAAAAGGCTCCTATTCGGAATCCATGCAGTGGCGTAGTACGCTATGCGATGAATCGACTGACTGATGAGCCACTTAAACCTATGGATAAGGATCGATAGTCCGAACAACCTGAAAATCGATTCTGTACCATTACTTCAAATTGGAAAATATCGATAGCCAATGATTAACGCTTTGTTCCTAGGTCTTTATCGCGCCGCGCCACCCGTTCATTCCTGACAAAGCTCATTTTTACATTCATGTTTTTTTTTTTTTTTTTTTTTTTTTTTTTTTTTTTTTTTTTGTTTGAAAAAAAAATATTTATATTTTAAACATATTGAAACAACTACAAGAACTGCATGCTTTGTGTCTATATACGTAAATTAAATGTACAAATTTATTAAGACACAAAATAACGTCAGTATCTAGAACAACAGAAATATTGGAATTCTCTTTTTTTTTCTTTTTTTTTTATGTTGGTATGATACTCATAATGGGCGGATTTCATCAGCAAGGAACCAACCCACATTTTCAAAAAAACTGAGTTAAGAACGTTTTTGAGTTCCATTCGTCGTACATTTTCTCCTGCCAAAAACTCAAAGTCCAAAAAAAGAAATTAGTTTGTGGAAGAGAGGTTAAATTTTATTTTCTGCATTGCGTCTTATGGAGGAATACAACTTCAAATTGCTTTTTCTCGGTTTCAACTTTATGTGGGTTGGTTCCTTTCTGATAAACTCGGTCCAAATATTAGGTACTTTTCAAAATTAGTTAAAATCATACTTAATCATGTAAAATCGTAAGGGTAGCCCGTCACGCTGAGATTGTCACGCTAATCGTGTCACAAACTGGGGTCTCCTACCCTTCCGTGCCACTTCCCCTCACTTTTACCAAATGGACGTATTTATACTAAAAGGAACTATGTGCTTAGGGTTTGGGTGGAACATAGTTCCTTTTAGCATGATTACGTCCAAATTAGTTACCGATGAAAGTAACAGTTTATGATTTGTGCTCCACTTCCCTTTTTCTCGCGTTTGCATTGACGGTCAATTAATCCCAGACTCAAGGTTTTGATTTGTTCGGACTTTATGAAAACCAACCCCTTTCCAGCCACCGGTAGCTCTACGTTGCATTATCAAGTTGTAAATCAAAACATCGTATAATAGTTCGGAAAACGGAGGGAAATGATTCGCATAATGTGGTTCACTGGAAAAAAAGTCGCTTGGGTCTTGAGTCCAGACTTTTAAAAACATTGACAAGAAAAAGTAATCTTCGGAATTTCGCTTGAATCAAATGGAAATCCTCCTAAATCAAGAGGCTTGGCTCTTCGATTCAAGGAAAAATGCGATTGAATTAAGAGTATTTTTTCTTGTCAATGTTATTAAGATTCTGCTGGACTCTAGATCCAAGCGACTTTTTTTTTTCAGTGTTCATGATGAATTTTGGCCAAAAATGTTTGCTTTATAAATGTACTTTTGTATACATTACAGGCGCGAAGCGTTTGGGAACGCACCTTTTAGTAAGAGATAAAAACTAAATGGCGTTTTTTTTTTTTTTTATTGTCTTTGTTTCTGAGGCATTTTATTAGACCCATCCTTCCCGACCTTTGCTATTTGAGAAGCCGATTAAAATGAGATGCTAACCAATTATGATCACTGGCACGACCAGTCACGATGCTGTCTGAAAAGTTCCTCTAATTAAGCTATTCAATTATGTACCGAGTATACCGAGTGACCTTTACAAGAGTGTAGATATCATCACACGGACTAAGACACTGCATGGGTGGTTGGTAGATACGTTTATTCAAAGGTGCTTTTAACATCTGGGCCATTAACACCTTCGAGGAGAGATCAAAATAGTGCAGTGCAGAATTTGAAAAATTTAAAAAGTAGGGGTCACAAAAGGATAGTCCACAAAAGATAGGACAAGGAAGAATACATTAAATGTGGAGATTAATTTATCTGTATGTGCATGTAAGTAGATTCTCCTAGATGGAAAGCCCAAGAGTGTTGCCTCAGATACCGTAAGTTCTGGTGGTTTTAATTTTTTAAAATTAAAACACACTATGACAAAGATAAAAAAGAAGACAAAAATCACTGAGCCTGTCGGATTGATTTCACTCGGATTCCTAAGTCACAATGTAAATTCGTTAAGACTTTTCTTGATGAATCTGGACCATGTCGAGACTTTTCAGCGTCTGAGTTAGCTTTCTTTGAAGAAGTTACGTTCCATATCCCCTTGATTTTTGACGCATTCCCAGTTGTCGCACATTGGTTGGACAGAAATCGCGTTGCGTTTGATGACGCGGTCAAGAAAATAGAGCAAAATTGTGGCTGTCCTCGCGAGCTCAGATCGTGAGCTCTAGATACGTGCCTTTGCACATCAATACCTCGGTATGATTCCCTCTCCCACTCTTCCGCTTCATTTTGTGAAGCTCATTTCAGGGTACTCTCTTTTTTTATTCAATCTAAGGTCACTCCGAACTTCAACTTCCCTTGAACAGCGCTCTGGTGCCGGGATTTGCATGCAAAAAGCGATGATATGCTCCAGTCCATTGCATTTACAATCAGCGCACCAGTGGCGTGGAGTGGTTTGCGATACATCGATTGATCGGTCATTTAAACCTATGGAAAAGAATCGATAAACAGGGTATTCGCAGTGAACACCTATCGATGCTGATTCTGATTCTAATAATCGATTATTTACCACAGCTTGAATGGGGAAATATCGATAGATCGCAAAGTACGCCATGCCGCTGCAGTGCACGTCCCTCTCCCCCCCTCTCCTCGTCTTATTCTGGGCGGTTTAATCTTGTAATTGTGAAGTTTATGTTTATTCAATAATTCGATGATGAACTGACCTCTCACGATGAGTTGACCACTAAACACGGTGCGACCTTAAACATTATGACGTATGGTCTCTAGTCAAAATTTCATGGAGAACACGATTTCTGCAACGAAAATTATTGAAAATATCTCTTAATTAAGATATCAACGTTTATTATTGTATAAATTAAAACTTGCCGCTCATAAAAAATCATAATCTACTTGAGTCTAATTGCACACTAAATGTTGCCGTGGCAGTCGCTGGGGAAAAAAAACACATTGGATCTAGAGTCCAGACTCTTGAAAACATTGAGAAGAAAAAGGACTCTTGATTCAATCAGATTTAAGCTTAAATCAAAAGGAAATCCGCTCAAATTAAGAGGCTTGGTTCTTGATTTAAGCTTGAATCTGACTGAATCAAGAGTAGTTTTTCCTGTCGATGTTTTTAAGAGTCTGGACTCTAGACCCAAGCGACTTTTTTTCCAGTGCGGTCTCTTCCGTATATATGAGAAAATGACTACCTCAATCTTACGCTTTTGCTCAGCTGGTAAAAGTTGTATACTTTGAAGAACACAGGGTGAGAGAAAAGACTGCTAGATTAAAATTACTTCTCAAAACCGTTTTAGTGTGCGATTTGTCTCCGGTAAACTCTGGTCTTTCTTGTGAGTGTGGAATTCAAATGTTCCAAAACCAGTTTTAAATAAAAACCACAATATCTTGGTTAGGAGTTAATGTCAGTAATTGTTTATTGCAGTGGCGTGGCGTGAATTGCGATATATCGATTGTTATGCCATTTAAACCAATGAAAAAGGATCGATAAACTGGGTGTTCGCAGCGAACACCTTAATAATCGATTATTTACCATGGATTCAAATGGGGATTTATCGAAAATCGATCATTCACGCCACGCCACTGTTTGATTGCAGGAAACGTGCGTCCTACGTGAAAATTTGAAACTCAAAATTTTATTAGAATGCTTAAATTCGTCCGGTGGTCCAATTTGATCGATCACCGGCCTATGATTCTGTACCATAGGCCTTAATGACTGTCACAAGATCACACTGGTGTGGAAAGAGTGATTCTCTTCCTCTTTTATATTCTCATTCAAATTTTTTACCTGTAACTTAACATTTTATCTGTTGCAGTGCGAGGCCTTCAAAATTACGTGCCAAAATTAGTATAGCAACCATATGGGTCGTTGCCGCCATCTTAGCCACCCCTATGGCCATGGCACTTCGAGTCACTGATGTGGAGGAAGAAGGGCCAGGTAAGCGAAAATTTGTTTTTACCCTCCCCTCCTTAACTAAAATACATTCACTCATGATAAATTCAACTAATTGATTAGCGTGGTAAAAAATTAGGTAGGGTCTCTTTGTCCACGGACCCTGATTGAACCATCTTTTTACTTTCGCTCTTTTCAAGAAACACGATTTGAGTATGTTCCCCTGTGACTGTGTTCTCTAACGATATATAGCGACAAATTTCGGATTTACCCTCCCCCAAAATCTACCCTTATGAAACTGAGGGTAGGCAAGGGAGCTTCGAGGAAGAAAATAGCTCCGAAACTCACTCCCACACTGAGCGCGGGCTGATTTGAATGGGGGTAAGGATCAAGGGTTAAATGACGCGTGCGTGAGGACAATGACAGTCAACAGTCGACTTCCTTCAAAAGCCTTTCCGGCTCTTTGCACTAATTGACACGTAAGATTACTCGCCAAATTCCGCTCTCAAGTGCGGAGTGTCCTTTGCTGTGAGAAGGGACATTCTCTTGCCAGATTGGTTTTTTTCCTCCTAAGTTACTCAAGATTCAATATTCGAAAAATCTGAAAGATAAAAATTCGTGACATTCACGAATTTCTCTTCTATTCTACTATTTTATTCCGATATCTATTTCAACTTTTCTTTGTATAGTTTTGTTGATTGGCAAGACGTTACCTAGAGATGCATTCTTAAGAATTATGAATTTATTTGTTCGATACACACATACCCCCTCCTTCCAAGAAAAACCCAAAAACACTTTGAATAATAAATTGACGGACAAATTATGCAATATGTCTAAAAGTTGCTCAATTAAATTGATTCAATAATCATTAATATCTGTTATTTACTAGGAGAAAAAGAGCAAAAAAAAAGGAGTTTGCCTCAAGCGTGATGAATGCTGATTCTTAAAGTTCAGCTATATTTCACAAGGATCAAAGAATAAATGCTTGGTTTAAGCCAAAAAGTAATTTTAAACTAAGCTGAGTCATTCTAGAATCAGGAAAAAAAATTTGGAGCCAAATTTAAGACTTATTTCTAGCGTTAACTTCTTTTGTCAAGTCATAAAAATACAAAATTTTGCCTGAAGGCCTCGCCAACTTTCTAACAGTATTCATTTCATTTTCTAAGTACACTAAACACTGCAAAATGTGCAAATATTTGTACATACGGTAAAAATTATAACCGGTATCCACCCGGTCTCCTAGTCATTAAAATACGGTATGACCATGGTCATTATCATGACAAATCTCCATTACTTTTATATGTATGGAAATGTTTTAAAATGATTCTTCGAAACTGCTCTGTTGAACTTTTTACCACAATTTATTTTGACGAATATTTGAAAATTATGATTTTTTTTAAAAAAAAAAAATTACAGAAGTTACGTTGAACATATTTTATAATTTAATGGCTGTCAATATTGTCTTTTTAAAATTTTCTTAACAAAAGATATAAAGCATTTCCCTACCTTCACTCCATCTAATTACCGACTCAAACGGCGAGCCAAACAATTTATATCCGAAGATATTTTGCTATTGATGGCAACAATGAATTTTGCAAACTGTAGTCCTGCGGAGGAGGACTCATTATCCCAAGCTTCGTGTCATACCCCTCCAAACTCATTTCATTTGACGTAATCTCCTTGGGTCGGGCTCTCAAACAGACATTTACAAAAGCACTAAAATTTTACCTGCTAAATGGTGATATTACCAAGTCTGCAGACATTATGAAGATAGGTATAGGATTCTAAATCTAAGGCATAGGAAACTCCATATTTGTCTCTGCTCTATTTAAGAGTCTGGTTGGACCGAGTTTATCAAAAGCAAACCCGGCATATAATGGACACGTGTATTAGAGTATATCGACGGTGCAAGTCGGCAATCACATAAGTCGGTTTGCGACGTCGCAGACTTCCTGTCATACTTTATTTTTTAAATGGAAAACTACTCAACGGCAATTCTTTAAAACTGTCATGATTTTTCTTCTCAATGTGAAGAAAATTCTGCAAAAACTTCAAGAAATAATATCAATTTGCTCTCCTTTAAAAAAATGACGTAGAGGCGGAGATTTTCAGACACCGCAAACGAGTTATGTGATTGCCGACTTTCATCGTCGATGTATCCTCGTAAGGAAATTCATGGTAGATAAGTCATTTCTAAAAGGTCAAAATGAGCCAGAAAAGTTTATTCCTTTCTGCGAACTAGGTGCAATTAACACACCATCTACAAATTGGAACAAATAACTTGTTAAAATGAGGGCGGTCAATCTAAACTTGCTCTTTGATATAAGATCAGAAGTGTGACGCGTTACGGGTAAAGTCTAACAACCCCCCCGCCCTCCATTTCACCACTCATCCTTATCCACCCGCTGCCTCCTATGTCACATATCGCCTCTACAAAAACTAGCAACCTCTTTCTCCTCCCCTAATTTCTATTCCTCCAATTGGCGTGCGCCCCCTTTCGAATCTTATCACATAGAAGGATAGAAAGAGGTGTTTGCATTTCAAGAACCGTAAAAAGCGGTCGAAGACGTGAGCGGGCGCAGAAATTTTTGAGAAACTGATTTCATAGAGACTGATTTCATAGAAAGCGAGTCAGGTCTACAGAAAAAAATTATACTTCTAAAAAGGTTTAAAATTTCATTTTTCGTGGAATAAGGTCAAAGTAACGGGCTTGGAAGTCCGTTTTGAATTTGCAAGGGTATTGTCACCATAAACTATGCCCACCCACTTCCGCGAGTAAACATACCAAAGACTGTCACCGCCTTCTCTCTGCTCTCTATCAAATTGCTCTGGCTAAAATTTCCAAAAAGGCAAGTTGTGTAAACTTATTGATAACACCGAGGACGATGTCAAAAAACGCGAATCTACCTAAAGGGCGCTGTGCGAAGAGGTGAGGGATTCGGTACCTTGGTGCTTATAAATATCTAATATTTTTTGAATTTACTATTTTCAATTTTTTTCGTTTGTTAATCAATTTTTCTTTTTTGTTATGTTTCAGGAGGCACGACGATCACAAAACCGTTCTGCATGAACGTCAGTTTTTCAGAGAATGCCTTATTAACCTATAGGATAGTTTTAGTATTAGTACAATATGTGACGCCGCTGTGTATCATATCATGTGTGTACGCGCGGATGGCACTCAGGCTGTGGGGCTCTCGGGCGCCTGGAAATGCTCAGGATAGCAGAGACGCTAATCTCATGAAAAACAAGAAGAAGGTAAGCTATTTTGCCTGTATTGCTCATTTTGACAGTATCTCACCCTGGCTACATTAGGCTCCTCATTAATGCTACGCAGAGCATGGGAAACTGCTCCAAGCTCCAATATTTTCATGTAGTAATAGCATCTAAAATTAACTTCAAAACAGAGCACTCACTGTTCATGCACACGCTCCAAACTCTTTAACGCGTAATAACATTATGAAACACTTTCCGCGGTGTATTAGGCGCAATGCGTGAAGTATTCCTGTACTCTTGTAGGCGCTAATATGCTTCCCGCACCGACCAGCGACCGGCGGCGGTTGCCGACCGCACTGCGATACGCGCGATGCGTGAAGTATTCCTGCACTCTTGTAGGCGCTAATATGTGTTCGGCGCTGAGCAGCGACTGCACCGTGTTTGCCGCAATGCGTTAAGTATTCTTGCAGTCTTGTTGGTAGAAATATGCGTTTCGCAATATGTTCTTCGATTTCAATAGTAACTCAACTCAACTCGCCTCAAACTCGCCGTTTTTAAGGTACTTGCAGATTTCGTGAGAAAATTGCGATTTCAAGCGAAAATTCGACATTTCCAGCCGCAAAGAACTATCACGATACCTCATGAACCAGAAGTCACAAACCAATATGTGTATAATGTTTCTGATGGAAAATTTTGCGATCTTGTAAGGGTTTGAGACATTATCCCGTGTGATTGATTTTTTTTTGAAATGCAAGCGAAAAACCAGTCGCCGCCGGCATATTTTGGCCCTCCAGACCGCCTTTTTTCGAGATGGTGGCCTTAGCGGACAGCCGATTCCGGTAAATTTTATTTTATGTTGTCCTGCGGTGGCCTATTAGAACATGTTTCCGCAAAGAAACCTTCCACATATTGATTTTCCGGGAGAAATGCCAGATTAACTGGATTAAAAGTTATATGAGCGAGATAAAGTTTGTCTTACACGCCACAGCTCGTTTCTGACCAAATGGACATGATCATTCGTCAGCACGCGTAACAATAATCCATCAGATGCCTCACTGCGTCCGGAGACCAGCTCCGCTCAAAAGTCACATACCTACGAGAGAAGCTTGTTAACTGGAGATACCCTGCCCGGAACGGACCGCTGTATGTGAAAGGCCCATTGAAGGTGCGGTGCATTTGACAGCGGCCTACTTTGAATATATCCCGTGAAAATGGGTATCGCAACCTCGCGCAAAGCTGCCAGACCCGCGCCGACTTTCTCTCTCTCAAAATTAATCGAAGTCAAAAATCATCCAAAAACACTTGGCAACCGCGCCTCCGCATCTCTACTTCGATTTTGAATGGACGCTCTGATTCTCAAGACAGCCAGAAGATGAATCGTTGAATTTCAAATGCCTACTTTTCGGGTCCTGCCATGTTTACGCCGGAAACGGTGCGCTTTTAGAACGAAGTTTTCAGAATCCCCGTTTTGGAGAAAAGCAAATCTCTCGGGACAAGTGGACAGCATTGAGAAAAGGAAGGCTATCTGCATGAGTCTCGGTAATAAGTCACTTTCAAAGGCTGGAGGGCTCGGGCCGTGAAGGGAAAGGCCTTCCTCGTTTGGTGCTGTTCAAGTATGCTTGAAACTAAATTTTGGAAGCTTTCCTTATAGCTCAAGGCTATTAACTCGGCAAGAATGAGTTTTAGCTCAAATATAGGCTGCAAAAGTGAATACTTGAGGTGCTTAAATTGACCTCTATTTCTTTCAGCACTTCTGTTCAGTGGCCCTCATTGAGTTGCATTTCAATCATCTGGTATACCAATATTATTTGTTGAAGCGATAGAAATGATGTATCAGATAAGAGAAAATGTCCATTGTCCATGGCTTGCAAATAATTTTCAATTTCGATATTTTCTACGTAGTATACTATAAGATATTTTATTTCTCCTATCAGAGAAACATATAATTCAACTCCAATTTATTTGTTCGAATAATGTGTATGGATGAATCCAATTTACATCTTTTAGCAAATAAAGTCTAAATACGTAGATTGTCCTCAGAGTGAAAGATATTGCCCGACTAACGTAGTAAGCATAATTTCAAGTTTGACCTAAGTTATGCCATTAGCATTTTTATTGATTAAAAACGAAAAATAAATGATTTTATCGTTTTGTAATCATCTAATGCTTAGGAATTGTTTTGTTACATTTAACATTTTTGTGTTAAAACTACATGAACTGAACATATCAACCAACGATGCTCTACTTGCACTTGACTTTAAGCAAACCTCAGACAATTTAACAGCAATTTATTGGCAAAATTAACCGCACGTAGTCCATTGAAACTTGTCACGGTTGTGACCATTCACCTACTTTCAACCTGTCAAATTTTGCTTGAATGTAAAACCAACCAATTATAATTAATATAAAATTAGCGTGTCCTTTTTTTGAATAAATTATAAAATACACTACATAAAAAAATTAGGAATTAAAGTTAGGTACATTTCTATCAGCCACATAAAGTAACAGCAAACAGTATAAAACACGCAGCGAGTTTCAGGACTTGTCCGTCTCATTCTTGAAAAATCTACCATTATCATTAGATACCCCGATTGCCCCATGCACTACCGCGCTAAGGAAAAACGCCGTATGAACATTTGAGCGTTGAAAAATTTCCTTAGAGAAAATGGTCATTTTTGAGAAAAATTATGAATATATTTTTCCTTGAAATTTTCAGGAACTTTAAGTGAAATTGCGAACAAAATTATCTGAAAAATTGGTAGAAAAATATTTACAACTTTCTCAATAAATCCGTGTTTTATTAAAGGAAATTTGGCAATGCCTAAAGGTTCATACGGCGTTTTTCCATAGCACGGCAGTATAGAGGTCGCGCTCGCGACACTGATATCAACGCCTGGATGCAACTAAACGTGCTTCATGGATGTCCATATTGCATACCGAAAATGTGAAGGCGTTTTACCTTTTTCTTATCTCCTTACCTATACATATGCACGCTTGCACACCTCACGGAGAGAAGAGTGATTGTGCGGAGGGCAAGTGTAAAAAGGAAAAGCGAGATGAAGATATCTTCTGCTTGCATTTAATATTGAATGTATTGCATAAATCATTTTTATTAACAGCCTGAGTATCTTAATAAAATGTATATATAAACTTCCTGACCGATAAACCTTACGGCGCGGCAATTAAGTAGTTTAAAACTAAGAAAGGCGGAAAGATGCTGCCGAGTTAGTAGCAGCTGTCCCATTTTTTCTTAAAGACTCCCAAGAGTGGCTTTCCGCGCTCTTTAGAACTCTTTCAAGTTTCAGGAAAGTGCATTAATTATTTATGTAGTTTCAAACTCACTCTTTCTGTGTGTCTTTGTCTCCGGCGGACAAAAGGAACGGGTGAAGCATTCGGTGGAAAATGGGGCAAAATTCTGAATTATTGCACATAGGTAATACGATAAAAGTGAGATAAAGACAGTGAAGGGAAGACGCAGAAAAAGAAGGGATGTGAGAATGCTGAGAGACGAGTTGACTTGAGACATTTAAATGGCAGAGGGATTTCTTTCTCTCTCTCTCTCTCCCTCCCCTCCCCCTCCCTCTCTATCCCCTCTATCCACTTAAAGTGGGAATAAATGATATTTTGCAGGCTTGTTTCGATTTTGGGCCTCTTCTAATCGACCAAGGCCTCTTTCATTTCGCCCAGTTTACTTCTCAAAATCGGAATTAGTCCAGGCAGATTGCGATCGATTCGACAAAAAAAAGGTTTAGTAGGCAATTTGTTCTACCTCGAAAATTCTCTACGAATTTATTTTTTTTCTGTTGGTTTAATGTTGTTTATTGGATTTTATCTCAGTGGAGCCTACAGCCAAAACTGAAAAACTTTTCGTGCCACTGAATTCGATCTCTTGAAAACCAGAGACACAAAAATTTATATTTTGTGCGAGCTAAAAAATATATTTTTCTGTATAATAGTATTCGATAAACTTTCAGTGGTAAAAAAATACTCCTCGATAAAATAAACTTCAAGAAAAAGTTTCTCGGTTATGAATTTTTAGCAGTTGAAAAACATGGGCCACTCAAATTCAATTTCAAGCTGCCAGAAAACTAATTGAAAAAAGAAAAAAAAGAAAGAAAAGGACGATCAAGCATAAAGTTCTGAAAACAGCAAAACCCTATGATGATGCATTTTGTACAGTTACATATTTCGATTTAACTTACATATATAATTGTGATATGAAGACGTGAAATTTCTATTTGCCAACGAAGTATGCTGTTATCTCACAAGTTTGCTCAAATCTCTTGAGCAATAAACTAGCTTAACTTACAACTCCGCTCCGGTTTTATAGATTACGTAAGCCACTATTAAACTACTCTCTAACGTTATAGCGAACACATATACGACGAATTCCTAAGATTGCTATTTGTAGGGCCACAATTTACAAAGGAACGATGAAATATAATTTCTCTTGCCAATAATTCAACCCAGCTCCGTTATGGTCATAAAAGCCCATGTAAATATATTGTAAAACAAGATGAACTTATTGATGGTCAGATATCCGTGTATGACTAGGAACCGTAAATCTAAAACAGAGCTTTTGCATCTTCATTCGTGAGACACATTGTATCTTCGTGCAGATTTAGGACGATCTTAAACTTTATGAGGTGCCCAATTTTTGGGGAGAGACGATAAGGAATAGACTTAAAAAAATGTAAAAATTGGTTGGATCCTACATTGATCGAGAGTTCTATTAGTTCAGTTAGGAGTATTGTACACTCTAAAATTACGTATATGAATTATTTGATTTTGCAAACGTAAGATATTTTTTTTCAATGAGCACTGCCTGGTTAAATTTCTATTGAATACGTGTTTTTACTTTACATTCCTCTTACTTGCAAGGTAAGAATTCAACATTGTTGAAGATTTCGGATTAAAATCAAGAGTGCACTTTTACTTCATAGTCTCACAAAATCTCGGATTTTCGGAACCAGAAGTGAAATCCACCCTGTAAGAACGGAGGTAACTCCGCAAAAAAAAATTGATTCTCTCTACACTCATAC